CCTAAGTCTATAGAAAGGTCTCTCCAGGCCCTGGCCTCAAGTTCCTACTGCCGGCAGGGGACGAGCTGCAGTGGGAGGCTCAGCCGCAGATAAAAGCCAGCTCCCTAGATAGGCCCCCGGGGAAGGTGCTCCTGCTGCCCCCTGAGCAGAAAGGAGGGCTCCTCACAGCAACAGGCGAGTTTGYTCTGCTGAAGCCGCTTTGAAAGCAGCCGAGTGGGGGTTGCTGGCTGCTTCTTGCCCCGCCAGACTAAACAAACAGCCGCCTGCGGACATTTCACCTTCAGCACCTGGACCGCCTGTTCCCGAGGTAGTAAAGGCGGCCGGGGCCCCAGTCTTTCCCTGTTGCGGCCACGATTCCTCTATCGTTAACATCTGGGGCGGCTGCCGGGTCTTTGTCAGCCTGGCCACAACCTTCTGCTGCCTCCACCAGTCTCCCCGTTCCTTCGAGGTGGGAGGTGGCAGCGGAAGGCCCCTTATCCTTGGTCTTCAGTTAAGCACCACCACCACACACCTAGGGGGCTTTCGGGGGCTGCAGGGATGCTATTTTAGGTAGGGTGGATGCAATAGAGGCTTTCCGAAGCTTCAGGCAGGCTCAATTTGCTCCCCCCCCTTAAAACAACAACAACAAAAAACCCATGAGACAAAAAAACCAAAAATTCACTTTTGACAGATTTAATAACAATTGTGAATAACATGCAGTTGGACAGAAGACTGCACGTAATTGCCCCCGCGCCAGAGGAAAATGGCTTCCTTTGGACAAAAAGGCCAACTTTGGGTTAATTTGTTTCTTTTAATATATTGCTCGAGCTAAGCGGGCCACTTTATCTGTTAAACGCTCTCCTAGCGCCATCATTAAACAGCGATGCCTTTGAATCCCAGCCGGGACCAGAGTCCCGGCGCAACACATGGCTTTTATAAAAATCTCCGGATTACCTCGCTATCAAAGGCTCCTGAAGCCCTWGCAGGGGGAATTTACAGGCGCCCACCTCCGGCTCCCCAGCCTGGAGCTGGCCCCGAGCGGGATCGAGCTGCCGAGTTTGGGAACTGGGAAAGGAAAAAAAGGGAAAAGGGGAGTTGTTTTTCTTTTTTTTTTTTGCAGGCATGCTTTGGCCGGTGGGTATTTCACGGCCAATTTCAGCACTCGCCACGTGATCCCGCCTTTTATAACAAAGTTTTGTTGGGGGAAACCTAAAGGCCCTTCATAAACCTTATATGCTTATAAAACAGCATATAAAAATTTAACAGCGGTGCTGCGCTAGATTTCCAACTCCCCTTTCATAAAGCGCGGGGCACACTGCCTTTATACGTACTGGAGCCGCCGGCCTTGTCCTCAGTGTGGCCGGAAGACGACTCGGGGCTGCTGCTGCTCTCGGGGCGCCGTCGCCGTTCCTTCTCCTCCGCCGCCGCCGCCGCCTCCCGGCAGCCGCCGCCGCTGTCCGAACTTGAAGTTGCCGGCGCGCCGGTGGCCGCCGCCGCCGCCGCCGCGGAGGTCGCCGTTGCCGCTGGGGGCCCCTTTTCGGCGCTCTTGTCCCCAGGGTAGTCAGAAGCGGCGAGGTTTTCCGGGGTGCCGTAGGCCGTCTCAAAAAACTGGTCGAAAGCCTGTGGCAGGACGCCGTTCCTGCCCACCGTGCTATAGAAATTGGACGAGACGGCGGGGGTGGGGTGGTGGTAGACGTTGGCCGAGCTCTTGGCCAGCACGTCGCCAGGCACGCCGGCCGCGCTGGGCGCCTGCAGGCAGTCTCTGTGCACGAGCTCCTCTGCGGAGTAGCAGTGGGCCAGATTGCCGCGGGGGTGCCATTTAGTGGCGGGCTCAATGGCGTACTCTCTGAAGGTCACTTCGCGCACGGGTTGGACCTGGGGCAGGTTGGAGGAGTAGGAGTATGTCATTGGGCGCGAAGACGGGGTCTGGGGCAGAAAAGAAGGGAGGCTGGAGAAATCTGGACCCGAGACGTAGTAAGTACAACTTGGCAAATACATGTTAGAGGAGCAGGGACCACGCTCATCAAAATCCATCATTGGGCTACCTTGGGCTCTCCGCAGTAGCCGAGCTTAACATGATTCTCCACTGCAGCTGCCTCTTTGAAGCGGATCCGTGAAGTAGAAATTTGGAGACGTAAGCTGACGTGGAAATCTATCCCCATCCTTAGCAGGGAGGTGCTGGTCATGTGACCCGATGTTGAAATTGACAAGCTGCGAGCTAGTCCGGGCCTTTTTCCCCCCTTTCCTTTTTTTTCCCCTCCCCTCCCTCCTCGGCTTCCTTTCTTTGTAGCCACCTCAGGGGAAGCAACAGATCGTCACTCGGTGTTCTCACCGAAAGCACGTAATCGCCGGTGTAACTCATGTTGGCTGGGGGGCCTCCCGGCGCGCGGTGAGGCTGGGGTGCGCCCCGGTGCAGCTCGCTTTTGCTCAGCTGCATGATCCTGGCCCTCGAGTGCGCCCTGGGCGGTGAGAGATCTCAACTCCCGACATCCCCACCCCCACTCCCCGGGTGGGTGAGGGATGCTCTGGGTTGGGGGTGACCAGGTGGAAGCCCGAAGCTGTGTGGCCCGTGGTCTCAGAGTGTGTTCTTCTGGAGACTCACGTTCTCACCCCCCTTCTTCTCAGCCGCCCCCCTCCCACAGGCTTGCTCTGGGAAGCACCTCAGCCTAAGAAGCTAGCCAGACCCCTTTTGGGGCCAGGGTTCGCAGCCGTGGATGTGCCCGCCTCGAGGCTTGTCCGATTTGCACGGTGACTTGATTACACGCTCGCATTCACGGTCACTTCCGAAGCGCTTTAGTGCCTTCCGTCCCTAAACCGCCAAGAACCAAGGCGGCTTCCCCCGCGGTTTGTCAATGATTCGCGGGGTCCGGAAGGTCCTTCGTCTCACCCGGGATCCACCTTTCCCTTAATCTTCCCCGCCTGTCTCTTCACCCCACCCGCTGTCCTTGGAGAAACCCCCTTCTCCTAGCTGCCTGCCTGGGTTCCAGTGACTCGGCAGAGCCAGACGCTCTGGGGCTGCGCCTCTGCTCTCCGGTCCGCATGCCTGCCTGGTCTTCTGGAGCTGAGGAATCGGGAAACCATGCAATTGAGGCAAGCCTTGGGCTGTTTTAGAGGCGCTGACATCCGAGGAGCCTTCCCCTGGGTATGCTGCACCTTTGGGGGACCCTGCCAGGATGCTTGCTGAGCTATGGGGCTGTGAGGGAAAAGGGGGGCCAGCAAGGAGGGAGTGATAGTCAAGGAGTCCTGACCAAGAAAGGGGTGATCTGCCTCTTTTTTTCCCCCTTGCAAATCCTAAGAATGAAAGTGAGAGATGTGCAAGGCAGAAACTCAGAAAGCTCTGTGTCTTTGGGCTACTCATTCCAGAGAAGGAGCACAATACCAGAGAGAGAGAGAGAGAGAGAGAGAGAGAGAGAGAGAGAGAGAGACACAGAGAGAGAGAGAGAGAGAGAGAGAGAGAGAGAGAGAGAGAGAGAGAGAGAGATGCTTTCCAACTCCCTGCACCTTGGGCAATAAGGATGCCTTAAAACGGTTAGGTTTGCTCTAAAGATAAAAGCAGAGGCCATAGTTGCTGGTTTGAACATACCTTTCCTGGGAGAAGGAAATTGGGAAATTAAATAGGCAAAATAATGTTTATCATTCTGCAGGATTAAAGGAATAATATTTGGGGGGAAATAAAAGAAGGGAGAGAGCACAGAGCAGACAGGTAGGGCCAGGAACAGGAAGGGGACCCAGACCTAAGGTCTCCCCACAACTCTAGGAAGGAGTGGGGGTGTCAGAGAAAGAAGTCCAAAAATCAAAAATGAAAACCTTTTCCCTTCCCGCATCTATGAAATAGCCAAAGATCTTTATATATGTAGAGAGATTTAGAGTATAAACTCTAAGGTCTTTGGTATTTAAGTGTCAACATCGATTAATGTATTTATTGCTGAGCTGACTGTAACCGACTCAATAACAAATTTAATCATGTATTGCACTGGAAAAAATATTCTCATTATGTCTTTTCTCCAAATAATGACCCACCATTGCATTTGAATACTCTGTAAATATCAATAATATCAAGTAATTACTCTGTAGTGGAGTAAACTAATTTATTAGCATTAATGTTTATGTGACCCCCCCCCCACACACACACACACAAGGGTTGCTTATTACAAATCAAGCTACTTGGACACAATGGTTTAATGAACTCTTTATTCAGGATTTGCTGCAAGAACTTTCATGCCCCTTGAATCCCTGAGAGCTAAACTTGAAATTATTCATGTATCTTCAGCTTGACATATTTGTCCACTGTGGCTTGCGTAGAGGGCAGCAGCAGTGAGAATAAGAAAGTCCAGTGGGAGGGAAGGTTATTGAGGAAGGGTACCTTGAGACCTCCTAAAGCTGGGAATCACAATTATGGGATTGTCCTGCAGTGAAAAAACTTCTATTTCCAGCAGTGATCAACAAGGCAAAATATTTATTTCGCTATACAGTATCTGCTTCTTGGAGACAGAATATGAAAGAGAGAGACAGAGGTTTCATACAGCAGTATTTGAGTTGTTTCTTGTCTTTCTGTCTTGATTTTGACTCTTCCAAACTCTCTCCCAGAAGCCCACCCAGTCCTCACCACCCCAACCCTTGAACAAAAGGAATGCATGAAGGGTTTCAGTGACTTTGCCATAACAAAGGCGCCACCATTGCAGGGCTCGCCCCGCCCCTGGGTGAAGGCAAACAAATTCTTGCACTTGTATTAGGGCTTTTAAGACCATAATTGAACCCGGGGGCGTCTAGGAGAACCGAAAACAGTTCTAGACAGACCTGCGGTTTTATAGCAGTTTTGGCAGTCAACTTCAGCTTGTGTCTGAGCAGTGGGGCCACGGTGGCCCACCAGCTGGGGGAAGCCAAGCTACCTCCCCAGGCAGAATACAGCCCCTCTCTTAATTAGATCGGTTTCCCTGGTGCCAGGGGGAAGGAGTTCTCGCAGAAAGGTGGGTATGGGTCTGTGCGTGCTCTGCATAACCGTTGCCTTCCATGTCCTCCAGGGCCAAGCTGAGTGGGTGCCTGCTTGTCTGGATCCTAAGGGTGTCTGCAGGAGACAAGGAGAATTCCCGAGGAAAGCATGGGGACAGAGGAAGGAGCTCCAGGAATGGTTGGCAGGGCAATTGGGCAAGCTGTACCGAAGCCGGGTGCCCAGAGGGACTTGCAACCTGGAAGGGGGCGTGTGGGGGCGCTGCCGTGAAGATGAATGAGGGAAGAGGCTTTTGATGCCAGCAGAAGGGAAAACGCCCCGGAGGAGCTGCCGAATGCTTTTAGTTCCCCAGCAGGAACAAGAAGCCGGTGCTCAGATCCCAAGGCTGCGCAACGTTCCCAGCTTTGACCGCTTCCGCCCCACTTGCGCGGAATACGCACAGGTAGTGTGAATGTTCTTCTATGCAGGCGGCAGGGGTAAGGGGTCTGCGCCGCTCTGAGGTTCGGACCAAATCTTGGGGAAAAACGGGAGGGAGAACTGCAGAACCTTGGTTTTGACTTTCCTATGAATCTTCGGCTTTGCAGGAGGCCCAGCAGCCAAGCAGAGCTGGGCTCTGGGGAAGAACCGAATGGGAATAAGGCCACCCCGGAAAGCCAAGTCCGAGTTCCAATTCTTGAAGAGACCGCGGCGGGCAAGGTTGTGACATTGGCCCTGGCGACTGTTTTCCCATAAGCTGCTGTTTCTCAAGAGCTCCACAGCGCGGGGCCATCTTCAGAAAACACTCTTCGGCGTGTATTTCCTTTAATCGTCCATCCGGAGCTCCACGGCGGCTAATGCGCGAGGCCAAAAATGTTTGGAGGAAGAAAAACAAAGGCAGGAAGTGGCGGCGGCCTGACGGTGCGTGTGTGTCTGTAAAGAAGGGAGGGAGCCGGTTCAATCTCTCCTTGTTTTTCCGAACTTCAAGTTCTAGGCAGATCTCCGCCGGGCTGGCCCTGTCTCTCCCGGCGCAGCTTTTGGAGGTGGCCACCCAGAGAGAAGGCCGGCGCCCGCGCCAGCCTTGTCAGGCGGAAATGGCTAACAAAATTTGGTCAACAAAACTGGCCAAGCCTTTCTGAGGCTTCTTCTGGTTTGTTCTAAAGTTGCGGGGGTGGGGGCGGTGCTGCGCATCGCTTCCCGGACCCTCTTTGGAGGGCTGACTGCCACCGTCTGAGGATGGTGGTTAGTGCAACCCGCGCTCCACCCGCCTTCCCAGGCGGGATATCAGAATAAAGTCTGTCCAGGCGCCTCTGCCGCATCYGCTTCTTCTTGTAGTAGGGGAGGTCTGGGCAGCGGCGAGCCTCTCCACAAAGCCTGGGCGGGGTGGCCTCGGGGCAGTCATTGCGCAGTTGGGCAATTGGAAGCCCGTTACCCCGGTTGTTGTGCCTGGGGCATTTCCAACACATTCAAGGGACAGGTGCTGCAAGAACCATCACTTGACAGTCAGCTTAACACCTTCTCACTCCAAGGGAGGATAGAGCTGTGGGGCAGAGAGCACCTCTGGTCTCCAAGCTTCCTAACCCCAACTGGCAAGGCTGTCCTCGCTATCCTTGGGGTTGGCTTGGGATGCTCCCTGGCTTGGGATGCTCCCTGTCCCCTGACTCTGAAAATCTGAAGTCTATACTTGCAGCCCTTTGAATGCAAGCGAGTGGTCCATAGGATCCACAGTGTGAATGTCAAACCAAGCTGCCCCCACTCAACACATTCCTTCTCAGTCCGGTCTTGTTCTCTTGCAGTTCCTGCTAGCTCTTCTCCTATCCTGCCTCTTTCCAGCCAGTCTTCCCTTCTCAGTTCTCCTGCTTTTTTCTGATGTGTTTTCTAGGCTGTGCAAGAGCTAAGATGCCACTGGAGGGCACTTAGTATGCAGGCATAGAGAGAGGGGTCTATTAGATTTCCCACCTCCCCTTTCCAGATCTGTACTGGGTCTCTCACCTCCTTCTTTGGACTACTCCTTCTCAAATCCCTACTATGTCTGCTTTCTTTTTCTCACTCCCTCCTTCACCAACACTTTTCTTCTGGGGACCCAGCTCCTGCTTTTCTGGCCTCCGCAATCTCCAACGGTAGCTGACCTGGGAAGGGTTGGACACCTTTGTCAGACCAAATCTCATTCCTAATTGTCTACAGTTGTTTCTTAATGGATTTCTTAGGGCACCTTTAATATTTTGCCTCTTCTTGCTGACATAAGCTCTTACTTTCTTTTGTCCCAAATGTTGACTGTTTTGAAAAAGCTGAAGAGAAGATTATTGCTACCCTGATGACCATATTGCACACAGGTGCAAGAACCAGCCAGGAGGATGAAGGTGGAAATGGCCACAGAGCTCTAGACAGGACTGAAGGCCAGGCCTCTATTTGGAGAATCTTTCCTTCCAAGTAGGAGTTGTCCTTGGGGTTACTGTCCTTGGTAGTGGGCTAGGGAGATGGATTGAATGGAATGGCCCAAGAGATCTCTAAGTATTTGTTCTGAGGGAATGGTTTATTGGAAGATCATGGTCAATCTACCATTTTTGCTTCAATAAAAAATCATGGGAACACTTCTGTTACTACAAGGTGAAGGCAGGGATTAATTTGTCCCTTTGTCAAGGCACCAACCCTCCCCTTAAATTCTCTTACTCTTCCCTAAAGCACAGGAACAGATAGTGCCTTGAACTTGACCTCATAGTTGGTTTTTGGTCTGACCAATGGGTAGAATCATCCTCCAGTGCCCCTCAATACCTGAAGAAGTCCATATTCTTCCTCTGGCCACTGGGGGGTAGGGCACAGGGTTCAGCTGAGTGTCTCAAATGCCCAAGCAATCTGGTTATCATTTAGTTTAGTGGGTCTCAAACTGATGGGAGAAGGGAGGGTTACTACCTTTGAGAACTATTTTTATTTTTACTGTTGCCAACTCATTAGAGAAGATTTTATTTTTTTTTTCCTACAGAGCAGGAACAAGTAGATGGGGAAAATTAAAGCACAAAGCCCTGGTTCTCAGTGTCTGCCGTCTATTTTCCCTGCAGTTTCGGCCCAAACGGGTTTCTCCTGCTGAATGTACCTGCAATAGGATGACAAAAGAGGGCAGTCCAACCAGAAGGTTGTCTCTATATCCTGGTCTTAGTTCCCAAGGCCATGGCTCACAGGATCCCAACTTACCCCAAGCTCCATTTCTACTCAGTGTTGTTGGTGGCTCATACTCCATGCTTGAAAAGAGCCTCTGCTCCTATCTACCCCTGCCCAAGAAGCCTTCGTTACCCACACTGCCAGGCAGTTCTGCCATGGAATCCCTTCTGCTATATATCTCCACCCTATCCCCACCCAAGACCCAACCCTGCCTTTGCAGCCCTGGGGTAAAGCCCAGCTTTTCAGTCTTAAAAAAAAAAAAATCATTTGTAGGTCCTCTTTGGTTCATCTGGAGTGATAGCCACAGAAGCAGAATAGGCTCAAGATGTTTGCTGCTGAGCCAGAAGCACTGACCTACAGCAGGAAGGCTATGGGCAGGGCATTAAAGGGCTCCCCTCCTTGCATAGCATAGTGAAAGCTTCTTGGGGTCCAGGAATCTGAAATCTTTACATCGGCAGAGTCCTCCTCGGTGCAGATTTCTGGCAAAAGAGCATAGAGGGTCCCCAAAGGTCTGCCATACATGAAGGGCCTGGACTCCGGGACCTTAGCAGGGTTTTTGCTTTCCTATCCTGCACTAGGCCGCTGGTCTTGTGGGCCACTTGTTCCTACCGGACCCAGAATTCCATCCCAGTCACATCTGCTCCTTAGGCTTGCAGGTGCTCCCTCTTGCCCCGGGTAGGCCTCTGCCGGTTCCGAAGTCTTCTGGGCTGGGGAAGATCCCGCTCTTCCRGGACGAGGACATAGCCTGGGTCATCCCTGTTCCCGGGGACTCCTTTCCAATAGGGCTAGGAGTAAGGGCGTTGGAAATCAAGAAAGAATACCGCTCCAGTGCTGGAACCCAAGGTACCAGAACCCACTTGCAGCAGGAATGATGACCCCGCCAATTGTACATCTGCGCCTTCCTGAAATTGCGGCTGCGGTCGGGAGCTACCGCCACCGGCCCTGACCATGGAGGCGGCAGTGGCGCCGAGGACTTGACCTTTATGGAGAGAGGAGAGAGCTCTCTGTGCCGCCGGGAGGGGGACGCGGCTGTCTCCAGCCTCTTTCACCCAATAGCAGCCCAGACAACCCACGCATGCTGCGCAGCTCACCCCCTTACCCCCCTCCATTTTGTGCAGTGTTCCCAGGCCTTCGGCGGCGGCGGAGAAACAAAGCCCCCAGCGCTGCTCTCACCACCTCCCCTGGGAGCTCTAGTCCCAATCCCCCCAGGTCAGAAGGCGCAGAGCTAAAGMTACACTCTCTCCAGGGCCCTCTTCTCTCGCCTGATCCCAGGTACCCTCAGCCAGCGCTTGGGTACTACGCTGGATGCCAACCCCGGCCCCCGCCTGTGCTAAGGCCCGGTGCGCCGGGTCCTGGCGTCAGGCTGCGGGCGGCGCCGGGGCCCACAGAGCCCGACCTGGCAGATGCGCTGGGCGCAGCGAGGCCCCAGGCGCTTCCACGCCCAGGTGGAGAAAGCGACTGTCTGGAGCGCCGGGATTCGGCAGCTCGCGTCCAAAACATGGCCTAAGTGCCCAGCTGGGGCTTGGCTCCCTCGGATCTCCTCGCACCGCTCAACTCCGGGCTCAGAAAGCGGAAGTATTTGGTAGAGAAAAACACGGTTTCTTTTCAGCCCGTCTGAAAACCCCTTTTAGAGAAAATGCTCCTGTCAAGTTTTATTTCCCGTTGCAAACCACCTTCCACGCTGCCAAGAATTAAGACCAGGAGAGATTAAATACCCGATTATTCTCTTGGGGAGGGAGGGGCGGGGCGGAGAAGGGGGCACCCGCACAAAACATTCTTTTGAATCGGCTTGTCCTCATCAAATAGCTAAATACCGAGCTCCGCTGGGCCAGTTTGGCCTGCAGTGACGTCAGCGAGCAGCTTTGGGGAGACTCACCGAGCGAGCGGGTCCCCGGCCCTCCAAAGTCCAGCGGGCCTCGGGTTCCACTGTCCAGACCTCTGCCTCGGTTCCTGCCGCGCGTCTCTGGCTCGCCCTAGAGCCGTCGGAGTACAGGAGGTTCAGTAAGGGTTGGAGCCTCCATTTTGAGTAGGGGGTTCATGTGGAAGCGTGGAGAACTTGGGGCCTCTGTCCCCACCGGTACAACAACACCAGGCCACTCTCTTGAGTCCACAGCGGGGCTTCTCCTACTTGTCCACACCCCTGCACTGGAGGAGGCCTCGCGCGGCCACACCACCTCTACCAAAGGTTTGAAAACCTGACACCCAATGTAATGATTTCTGCCGGGTGGATCCAGCTCTTTAGCCGCGCGATARAGCCCTTCAGAAATAAAATCAACTGTGGCAAGGCCCTGGCGGCTTTCACCTAGGAATTTTTCTGTACCAGCGTCTTTTTTCTTTAAAATAAAATTTAAAATATCAAGCATCTCTCAGGCATTCGTCGGTGCTGGCTAGATGCGTGAGGATTGAGTGGATATTTTCATCAAGAAGGCAACTGGCTCTTATTTACCGCGCGACTGAGCAGATAAAAACTGAATTAGCATGCCTGTCTTAAAACCTAGGAATAAATCTCCCCAGGCCTTTCGGATAAGGCTACATCTTTGCTTATGAAAAACGGGACGCGAGCAACTCGCTGCACATTTCTCTGATTCTGCAGGTCTTGGGCTGTTGACACGCATTCGATCAAGTTTAAAGGAATGCCCATAAATCAGAATCCCCTAGCGTCTCCAGCGTCTCCTTCGTAGAGGTCCGGGAGTCCAGAAGGGCGCCTCTGAACCAAAAGGGTCTAGGGATTAGTAGTCCTGGGCAACCTCTGTCTCCATTCCCGAACTGGGGAATTCGCAGAGGAAGAGAGATGCGGCATCCTCACCCAACCGTCCAAACACACACAACAGAGTAATCTGCACATATCTGTTATATGGGGAAATTTGGTCGTTAAGTACTTGCACACAAATGTATCACTGTCAGCTGAATTTCACTGCCTTATGGTGAATTTCTATGAAACTATTTCAATTAAATTGAATTTTAAAAAAGAACAATTTTCCTTTACTCCTTAATTTTTTTTCTTTCCTTTTCTATTACAAGAACAATTTAATTGGATGGCTTCAGTTCTGCATCAGACATAAATTGTGGTGAAACACCCAGGGACATTTTATAATCATCCACTTAGAATAACCTAATAAATTTGATATGAAGAGCATATCGGAAAACTAAGGGTTTTTTTTAAGTCTCATATTTGTAATTTTTTTATTCAGTAAGAATTTTCTTTTTAGAAACAAATACTCAGATCAGGTTTTCATTAATACCATCTATGGGTTAGTGTCTGACATTATTATTCCTATGATGCAAAAGGAGGCTGGTGTCCTCCTGGTTGTCTTTGTTCTAAAGGTCTTAGGCTGAGTGCTATTTAGGCATTAAGGAGCCATCAAAATCCATGCCCACCTAAGCTTATCTGGTAGATTCATGAATATTTTAAATAAGAAGGAAATTAGGTAAGATTCACACTATAAATAACCATTTTAGAAGGGGGACCCACTCTGACATATCTTCTGGCATTACAGTTTCAAAAAATGGACAAAGAAAAAGAAGGGTACTACTTTACCCAGGGTTCCTGCAGTGGTGGTGGTGGCTTTTGAAAGGGGCAGTATTCCGGCTGAGGAGATGTTGTTGGCCTCTTTCCTAGGCCTGAGGCTCAAAATATTCCTTACATCTAAGGAAAAATATCCTCCATCAACAGGAGAGCCCCCTTTGGAGCTGTTCATAAGAACACTGTTTGATCCAGCTTTGAGGGGATTTTCCACCACTTTAAACATTTTGGGAGAAAGTCATTACTTTGGCTTGATTGTAGCTCATTTAGAAATGGAATTGTGGAATAAGACGTGAGGAGGTGGATCTGCAGCAGCATTTTCATTTGTTTCCACAAGTGGAGTGAAAATCCTCCGGGCAGCCAAATACGATTGCACTTCATGAGACCATTCAATATATGTTTCAGAACCATCCTTTTTTTTTTTCTTTAAAGCTTTCAGATTCTTTCCATAACTCCTCATTTCTAAAGCTTTCAGTCTTCAGGAAAGGTAATAGAGGTTTACAGCAGCCATGTTTGTAATCAACCAATATCATTTTCCATCATTATGAATCTGGTTCTTCCAGTCACTATTACTCTCCTCTAACATAAAGGTAAAATTAATCAGCATCTGAAAATTTTGCATCCCAAGGCTACTGGTTCCACCAACGTTTCAATATATGTGTAGATTTGACAAAAAAATTAACTTATGTGTATATTAAATATATAAACATACATATGTATTATTTATGACTCTGAACACAGCACTTGATGTGTAATTAGGGGTCAATAAACAGTAGATATAATGCTATAATAATATTATTATTATAGTTTTGATGGTGGTTGTTAATATTAAACATATTTATTTCTCCCACAAATCAAATCAAAGATTTGTAAGCATCAATATAAGATTGCACACCACCCTGGAGCAGCACTCAGCTCTGAGCTATTCAGGATAACTCTTCTTCTGCCTCCATATTATGGTCATTTTGTAGATATGAGATATTTATAAGATCTCCTTAATGACCTCTTGAGAGGTGGATTTCTTTGAATTTCTGAAATGTAACTCTAGAACTCTAGAGTTAGCAAGGCATTCGAAACTTTTTATTTGCCGTAAAGACTCCCCAATAGCTCTAATTAGGGTGGGAGACCACCTTGGACGGCGAGGGCCAGGAAAGAAAATGGTTATTTAAGAACACCTCTTGAACTGTAACAAAAATGTACAGCTTTAAAATGGATTTTCAGAAATCTGATTGAGCTGCTGTGAAGACAAATCAAACTTGGCCATTAAAAAAAATGAACAAAACTTCATCATGTAACAAATATTTTGTACCTGGACTCTAGAAATCACTTTAAGTTACATTGTCTTGGGTCATCAGCAATTAATGTTATTATATCTGTACAGATTCTACAATTATATATACAAGCACACACAAGCACTGATATGCAAATGTATACATGTATACACACATATGATATATTCACATATATACAGGCACATGTATAATTTACATATATTCAAATCTACTCCACCTGGAGCCAAATGAATGAGTGTTAAATCTCTAAAACAACAAGTCAAGGAGGTAAGAGGTTTTGATTTCCTTAAAGTTGAAGAATTACAAGAAGGCTTGTCAACACGAGGTGGCGCCCTTGATCTACTAATCCAACCTAGGCCAATTCATGAGCTGTCAAAAGTCAAGGTCACAAATTGTCTTTTTTTGTCAAGGTCAAGGTTTAAGGCCTTACCTAGTCCTGTCATTTCAACAAATATCAAAACCTGCCCTTTCAGACACATTCAAATCCAAGAGCAGATTTTAAAATACGATAGCCTAGGCACTGCTGGTACAAAACAACTGGTTTTCATTTTTCACAGGGAACTTGGGAATTTGTACTATCTCTTCCTCCTTTCTCTTCTATCCTTTTTAGAATAAGCAACACTTTCATCTCCTTGAACACTTAGGATTTTGGCTAAGAGGAATTTTCCTCTTTTCTTAAAAAATTTGTAGCAAAAAAAAAAAAAAGCTGAATTAATAGACATGAATGGTCCTTGGCTTGTATGATACAAACCTTTCCCATTTCTTTCGGTGAAGTGCGCATTTAGCACAGGAAAGTAATGAGTTTTTCCTTCAGATTTTAATGGCAGTGACTATTTTATTAACAGAATCAATACCACTATATTACTATGTACAAGTCTAATTTTTTAGTAGAAATATTTAAAAAGCAGGTGCACAAATACATTTTTTTCACAGTGTGCTGAATGTCTTTATTTACAAGATAGCATTTTATAGTGAATATGAACAAAACGAATGTGCTGGTTGAAATAACTGCTTGGTTTAAAATGTGCAGTGAAGATGAATCCCTAAACTTTCTAATGAAGTCTCATAACACAATAAACAAGGAAAACACTAACACCTTAATAGATCAAAATACAGAATGTAGACATCTAAATATTTCAGGGGAATGGATTTCCATTCAGAGTTTTCTAAAAATAAAAAAAAATGATTTATCCAGCAAAACGTTCAGAAAATATTGGAAAATGCCAATTAAATTAAAAAAAAAAAAAAGGAATTGCATTCAAACTGAAATCCTTCATGTTTGGGTAGGACTTTCTGGGAGATCTAACATAATGTCAACCCTGCGGATCATCTGGTAATTTAAACATTTAAAAAATACTCAATTCTTTGGAAAATCTCTGATATTGTGGTAGTCCAATCACAAATATGCTTGCTATTATTAGAAGGACATTACCAATCTGGTGTTTCCTTTTAGCCTCAAAAAATTAAAGGCTGTATTTACTATCAAGACAAATGATCCTCGGAAGAGTTTTCTCTCCTTTCTCCCTTCATAGTAAATAGTTAAAGACCATTATTTCAGTACCTTCTCTTTTTTGCTTTAAACCTATATATGAAACATTTTTCAGAACATACAATGGTAGGAATTTCACTAAGATTTACCTGAGCAGGCACTTAACATGCAAAGGGAATGACGACCTAAGAAGAACAAGCAGATGTTTACAACAGACTCTTGCTTTTATAACCAACTTTCAAATCATTACCATCTAACACAGTGTCCTAAAATATAACGGTCACATAAATACTTACAAGATTTTAGTAAGTGCGTAAGTTATCTGAAATTTCGTATTTAGGGGTTGACGTTTGACTCTAGAATTTGTCATTTAACGGTCTGTTGGCGGGAGAACTGTCAGTCTTTACCATCTTAAAAAGTTTTTAAAAAGTTGTAGATTCCATTAAAAAGAAATTCCCACTTAAGACAGCAAAATACCAGTGTCTCTCTTTCCAATTCTTCAATTATTATTAAGCATTATTACCATTAGCTGGGCAAAAACAATCAGTTCTGAAGCATTTCTTCAAGTTGCCCTGTGCTCCACTTTTTAATCCATTAACYAGTGGTCTTCAATTTATTGATGACTTTTTTCTCTTTGACCCTCCTGTTCTGGAACCAGATTGTAACCTGCCGCTCGGAGAGGTTCGTCGTGGCTGATATCCTCCTCCGTTTGTCCTTGGTTATGAATTTGTTCGTGGCGTATTCCCGTTCGAGTTCTTTTAATTGCACCTTAGTATAAGGCACGCGCTTCTTTCTCCCCCTCCTATAGGAGCTGGCATCCGAGGGATGGGAGACCACGTCTGGAATACAGGGGAGAACGCAAGTTACACAGGGATCAGACCTGGGCCAGACACAGAAGACACCTCGATCTGAGCCACCCGCCTTGCAGTGCCCGGCTGCGCTTTGCCAGGAGCTGTACAATCCGGCCTTACGCCAAAGCCTGGGGGTTAGCCCGGAGGATGGTTAGTTTTGCACTGAAATGAAATCTCCCAAAGCTCCAGTGACCAACCACCCCAAAGGGGTTATCCTGCACACGCAGAGCGTGTTTTCCCTCAATCGCTTAGCCCAGCGGCCCACACCTTAGCGCCCGACTCAGAGTAACAACACTCATGTGCCTGATTCCTCTCAGTTTGCTCTGAGTCCCAGCACTCAGTGCTTCTACAAGTAAGGTTACTCCTCTGATCAGGAACAGTGGCAATTTGATGAACCGAATATCAGGTCAATTTCTCATCCTTAAGTTCTTGYCAAGGGCTAGAGAGGGCGGGGCGCAGAGGGAGAAGGAAGGTAGCCAGGGTCCCCACAAGCTCCCTCCCAGCACCCCTTACCCAAGCAGGGCCAGTTCAACTTAGGGCGGTGCGGACAGCGCCAGTCAGCCGGGGTCAGTCTCCCAGGGGGTGCAGCGCCGCTAGGGCAGGCCAAAGAAAGATCAGAGGGGCACCCGGGTGACCCCGGGCATGAGCTGAGGAGAATCTAGAGCAGAGCCGGAAGACCGGGGTTGCAAAGGGGGCGCCATTTACCGGGCAGTGTGGATTTCCAGAGGTGGGGAGGCTGCGCCTGCTCTTTGGGGCAGTACATTTGGCCGTTCCAGCCGTTGGGCAGCGCCCAGGGCTGGTAGCTTTCCATGGGAAGACCCAGGGGCTCGTGGCGCGATTCGCCGGGGCCCCCGAGACCCGGCACCACCGGCATATCCAGGTAGCCAGGCACGGGCTGATGGTGGTGGTAAGGCCCGGCTGCGTAGCCCTGGTGGTAGAAGGCGAACTCCTTAGCGCGGGAGCTGAACTCCTCGGCCGCGGGGCCGGCAGTATCCATGTACTTGTCCGCGAAGGCAGCGGCGGCGGCCGAGGCGGGCTGCGCACACGACTTAATGGCGTTGGGGTGCGGGCCCATGCGGGCGCACGGGTAGTAGCCGCTGCCGAAATAGCCATAGGGCAGCGCCGCTGGCCCGGATGAGCTCTGCGCCGCCGCGGAGCAGGGGCTGCATTGCTTGGCGGCCTCGGCACCCGCCGGGCCCGCCGGGCCCGGCCCTCCCGAGGACGACGCGGCGGCGGCGGCGGCGGCGGCGGCGGCGGCGGCGGCAGCGGCAGCGGCGGCCGACGGGGGCGCCTCCCCCGGCGCGCTGCTATAGGCGGCCGCGGCGCCCGGCGCCAGGGGCGCGGGGTGCGCCATCAGGTTGCGGCATTGGTTGGCCGCGGCCGCCGCGGCTGCCGCGGCCGCCGCCGCCACCGAAAAGTTGCCCCCCGCGGCCGCAGCCGCAGGGTGGGGGAAGCCCCCGCCCCCGGCCCCGGCCGCCGCTGCCGCTGCCGCCGCCGCTGCCGCCGCCGCCGCCCCTTCCATGTTCTTGTTGAGCTCGTCGGCCACCAGGCCGCCGCCGTTGTCGTAGAGAAACATGACGGTGGGCTCGATCCAGCGGGGGTGGAGGAGCACGGAGGCTGTCATAGCCCGAGCCGCATGGAGAAGACCCCAGTGGCGCTGTTTTAAAAAGCCCCCAAGAAGTGAAGAGCGCGCGGCGCGGGACCGGGGCCCGAGCGAGGGGGGCGGATCGCGCCCCGCGGGGTCGCGCCAGGCGGCCGCCCATTGGCCCGGCCCCCCCGCTCCGCCCACGGCGTATGCAAAGCGGGCGGCTCCAGCCCCAGCTCCGCTCTGGGCACCCGTGGTCCCCGCCGCCGCCCGCGCCGTCACCAGCGCCAGCACTAGCACTAGCCGCGCGGCCGCGCCGCGCACACCCAGGGGAGAGGAGGGGGACGCAGGCGGGTGGGGTATAGAAAACCCGGCGGGTGGGACAGGAAGGGAAGGGCGTGACTTTCGCATCCCCCCTTCCTTTCCCTTATCCCAGTGAGGACCAGCTCAGCGCAAGAGTCGGGGAGGGGACGTGGGCAAGCAGTTGGGTTACGACCTGAGGCCGTGGGGACTGGTCAGGTAAATCCAGCAATGGCCAGGGATGAGAGACTGGGGAGGATGGGATCAGCCCAGCTCAGGCTGGGTATTTCTTGGGGCCTTTGGGAGGTTCTCTTTCTAGGTATCTTTAAGCAGGGAGAACCTAGGTCTACTGTGCGAATTTTGGCTTCGACAATGTCACATTCTCAATTTGGCTCTCTTTCCAGGGGAACAGGGACAGGGCGTTTGCTGCTTRTTGGTTGTTTCAGAAAGGCCTGGCTCATGGATCCCAGGACATTCCACTGGAAAACTTGGACTGCATTTAGGAGCTCCCTTCCCTTCCTTGTACCTATGTCAGTGGGCAATTTTATACACTTACATTTAGGCCCACAGACTCTGAACAACTTATGATACCCTACAGTGACACACACACACACACACACGCACACAGTCGCCTTCACACACTTAGGAATATAGTCTGTTTCTCACTCTGACCCAGTAAAATTCTTCCTCCTTCTTCAGAGACAGAGATGGAAAGAGCACCATCCACCGTCCTCCTGTCCCACCAGTTCTTCTGGCTTCTCCTGGAAGGGGCTTTGGAGGAACAGGCTCCAGCTGGGCTGTTGACTGGAACTCCAGACTCAGATCCGGGGCCTCAGTAATCTGCTGCATAGAGCCTGGGGTGGACCTGACTTTTGGCATCTGGGATCCCACAATTTCATTCTGTTTGGGAAGAGAAAGGGGTTGCTTCAATGCCTTCCCCACCAAGTTGGTGCTCCAACCTTCAGAGGGTGCCCAGTGCCCAAGAACTAACCTAGAAGTCTTTCCTTTGTGCCTAGGAAATGCAACCCTTTCCTGGGAGCATGGTGGATGTTGGTATTGGCAGAGCAAAGCAACTACCCCTCTTGGAGTCATCATGTTTTAGTGAGGGATTTTGAAGATCCTGCCACTTTGGGGCCAAATACTTCCACTTCTGATTTTGTGACTGTGAGCTGGTCAGTTGTCCATAAAGGGAACAGGCATTCAAAATGAAAGTGGGCACATTCGGGACCATGCAAGCTGTGGAGAGTACTGGACTCCGTTCCTTCTCAGGCTACTGGTGAGCAGCCAGGCTTGGACCTGCTCTTTGGTCCCAGCTTGCAGACTCATCCCTAAACTCAGGGCACTGCATGTACCACCCCACCGCTTTGCTCTTCAAGCACCCTGGGCTTCCTGCATGGTCCAGACTGATGAAGCTGGCTTAGGATTTTATCTGCCCAGATTCCAAGCTTGCCCTGACCAATGTAAGTGTCGCCCAATAAAACCTTCTCTTACACCCCCCAGTCCTCCCCTCCCCCCCCCCACCCAGTGCTTCCTTTCCCTCTTGACTTTTTAGCAGTTCTGGGTAAATATTGATTTGCCCCCAGTTTACCTTCTCCCTGACTGGTCATTTGCAAACTAAGGAACCAGACTCTGTAAAGATTTGATTTTTGTGTTACTTTCCGGCCCTTTCCTCATCCCCCACCCCCTTCCTCTCTCCAAGTGGCATTGTAAAACTCACGGTCACAAAGAAAAAGAGTAGGGTTCGAGGCCCCAGTTCCTAGGGACTTGAGGGCGGTTTTACATACGGGTCAGACACGGCTGGAGGCCAAGGTCAAGTTGAAAGTTGCAGTCTAGTCAGCGTGAGAAAACCGCCTCGCAAACTTGGAGACTAAGGCGGCTGCAAAAGGCTCACCGCTCATCTCCCCACATTCTTAATTCCCTTTTACTCCGGAATTCTAGTTTTGGGCTCTGTTTGGCTACTCAGCATTTTTTTTTTCTGCCTTCGTAGAGTTTTTGGGGCGGTGTTTACGGACTCTTCTTCTCTTCCTCCGCCCTGCTCTTGGCTGGGTTTCGTAGTCTATTCTGTTTTCCAGCCAGACCCAGAAAAACGAAAACACAGCTTGGGAAGCCCCCCTCAGCCGGCGCCTGTGCCAGCTCACCTCTGGCCGTGGCGCGGTTGCTGGTGCACGCGTCGGCCAAGGCCAGCTCTACATTCTTCCCTCCCCCGCCCACTTCACAGGAGCCGGGAGACCAGCGAACAGAGGAAGGGCCTCAGCTCCAGACTGCCAAAGTCGACTGGGTCCCTCGACACCAAAAATGGTGAGACAAGATTTCATCTTGTCCTCTGAGGAGCCACAAGCAGGTTTGTCTGGGAGCGATAGCGCCTGGTGGGGCAGGGAGGAAGGCTTTGGGTCGCTTCTCAAATTCATTCTGCTTTGCTTTCCACACGTGGCACCCCCTCCAAGCAAGGGCCTGGGGCTAGAATTATTGAGATTTATGTCTCCCTATCAATTTTTTAAAAAATTCTCCAGATATGGTTATTTAGAGGGAGGCAGCCTGCTTGTCCCTTCTTGTCTTGGATCTCGATATATATGATGTGATTTTTCTACCAGGCGTCTTGGCATGCCTTCACTATTTTTAAATGTCTGTATGTCCTTCTAAATATTGAGTTATAGCCATCAATCTGCAGGAATGGTTTATAGAACTTGAATGAGCTCTGTGGATAATTTTGGATCTGAGTTTCTAGAATTTCTACACACTTTGAAGTAAGAATAATCACTGTTCTTCCGTCTTTCACTGAAGAATATGAGATTCATTAATGCTTCTCAATATGGTTTCTTAATCCACCAGGCAGCCACAAAAATGGCTTGCTGTGGAAAAAGAAAGGTCAGAGGACAATGAAGACCAGACTATGTTTTGGGAAGGGATTGTGGACCTTCCCAGCATTCTTCGTCTTTTCTCAAAAGTAAGGTGAAAATTTGGTTGTCTGCCCAGCTAGTGGGGTCTGACCTTTCTGAGCCACACTCCTCCTTTTTTTTTTTTTTTTTTTTGGTTCCCCAGGCTCAGGAATTCCTATAAGATTGCAGAGAAGTACCATCAATTTAACAATTTAATCCTCAGACACCCCATGGGTTAGGCTGTGGAAGCCAAGGCACCCACTGGGATTTTCAGGCAGCAGTGGCCAGTTGAGCAACAGAGTCAAGCAGAGGACTGCAGGAGTGGAGGCTGGAGAGACTAGGGTAATTTTCCAACCTCTGCCTGATGTGCCCAGATTTCTCTGGAAGAGCCCTGAGAGGGCAATGCTGGCAGAACCTGAGGACGCAGCTGCAGCAAAACCTTTGTTCAAGGCGTTTCCACAGCCTTTCTCCTGCTCCAAAATGCCTTGGTTTCTTACCTCCTGGGTCGGGCCAGGGCATCCTGTCGGGCCTTGGCTTCCCTGGAGCCTCCCCCTGAAGACAAAGACTTGGCTGGATTTTTCTGGGTGGGGGATTTCATGACAGCCTGGGACAGGGTACCCTCCTCTCCCAGGGTTGGAAGAAAAAAAGGACAAAGGGTAACCAAGGTTTAATTGAATTTGATTTTCATTTGCAAATGAAATTTACCTGCTCTCACTTTAACTTGGAGGACGCTGTCAGCACTGCTTCCTGGCACTACTTCTTTGCATCTATCCAGCATTAGGATAAACATTCCTTGGTTGGTTTTAAAGACACTTTGTATTTCAGGATATTCATGTGTTTCTAATGTATCCAAGCAGCTTTACGAGCTGCCTTTGCAGAATATCTTAACCCTCTCCCTTCCACCCCAGGGGGACTGGGAGAGCAGAGATAATGGCAAAGGAAGAAAAAAAGATCCAGAAGGAAAGAAAAAAATGACTGAGGGATTGAGGCTCACCAGGAAGGACTGAGAAGGGGAAAATTCTCAAACAGGGTAGCACCTCTGAATCCTTGCTAGAGCACACCATTTGGGAAGTGAGCAAGTAGAGGACCACTGTGTTCATGCTGGCTTTCTGAGTATCCTCAGCCCTATCTCCGCTGGGGTGGAAGCTGTACCCTCTTTTCTTAAAGGGAAGGGGCATATAGTTTCTGAAACCTGGGCTAAAGCTGGCCATTGGGTAGGGAAATGGTGCATTGTGAGTCATTCAAGCCTTTGTTCTAGATTTTTGAGAATTTGAAGCAATAATAAGGCCCTGAAATTTCAAGGCTGTGGGGCTAGGTTTGGACTACGGGAAGTCATTTTCCATCCTGGTGACCAAATGCTAACATTTGAAAATGGAAATGTGTGGTTGAGGAAGACCCACACTGACCCCACCTTGCCTTTAAGATCCCCTTGTAGGGTGGATTTTGAGGAAAGCAAGTTTTTGAAGGAGCAGTTCTCCTGTGCATGGGAGGTTTCATCCAGGACCACAAAGCCACTAGGAAAGACCACTTCAGGAAGGACACCACTTTCAGCACTGCCCTGTCCTGTCCAGGGAGCCTTTGAGAAAGGAGACAGGCAGCACCTCTTCACTTAAAACAAACAGCCCTGAGTCCTAGACTCCCAGTGCATAGCTGCCACTGCATAGTAGCAGCCAGCAGCACCCGGACTCCTCAGGGTTGGCGCAAACTTGACAAATTTGGAGTGAGGGGAGAGTGCTCGGGTCCCTGAGATCTGGCTCTGAGTGATTCCGAAGCCGGCGGTTCAGGTGGTGGTRGAGGGAGGGCTCCTTGCCCCCTACATTATCATGCTCCTCGTTGAACCTGGAAACAGCCTCCGCCTAAAGACCTGAAGGTGCGATCGAACAGGGAACTGAACTCCCCGGGTATTAATAGAACCTCCAGGAGGAGGACCCGCCTTCC